GACAAAGTTTTCTCTCCAGCTAGTTATTACTAAAATAGAGGGACAAGCAAAGGGGTTGAGGGTTGGCAATGTCTTCTTTCTTCGAAGTCTACTCCAACTAATACATGTACGTTTAAACACAAGACAGCAGAGAAAGAGGATGGAGGAGCAGCAGGGTGCAGTGCAGGTGAACTTCCATCAAGGGCCCTACAGAGGATGTGTCCGGTTCTTAGGCCTCTGTGGAACAGGACGGGGAGGTCTGTGAGGCACCACCACACAGAATGTGGCGGCCCCCAAACTCAGCTCCTCTCCACTAAAGGACGACAGGTCCTCTTCATGGGAAACAGTTAACCTCTACTGCCAACCTATTTGACCTAAGAGACACTAAGGAGATCAGTGAAACACACTTGTGGGTTCGTCTGGGGGGTTTTGGGACTAAGAGTCCCTGGCTGCCTCCTCTCTGGCGCTGCTCCCCAGTGCTGCTTCCAGGATGTCACCAGGTTATTGGCTTTGCCCTGCCTTGTCCTTCCCCTATGATGTTCCCACCCCAGAGTCAGCAGACCAGGGGTGGAAACTTCCCAAACTGTGAGCCAAAACAAACCCTTCCTCCTGAAGGCTGGCTGCCAGTTCTGCGTTTTGTCCTCACAACGAAAAGCTGACTACCACATCATCTCTGCGTTCCTAAGCTCAGTCCTCATACCCCGTGACTTTGATCTTCACTCTTCTCTGAACACACAGCAAGGCAGCAAGCAAAAGTGAGATAACATCTTATAAGAACAACTACATTAAGTATGTGAGAGCTGAAAGTGAACCAATACCTCAATTAAATATACAAAAGCAATCAGCCAAGGACTCTGTCTGCCTTGATTTCATTCAAGTCTGGATTTTTTTCATTCAAGTTTAAATCACTTTGATACAAATGATCATACTCAGTAACATAATTCCAATCTACACTCTTGACCAACTTTGTTTTCTCTGCCTCTCTTTCTTTTAAACAATGTGGGGGACGCCTTCCATGAAGCAAGCTCCGCCATGCTGACGGGTGCGAGGAGCACCCCCAGCTCCCCGCTGATCCAGAGGTGACATGACTGCACTGAGAGAAGGGAGTGCTAGAGGCTGGTGGTGTTTGGTTGACTCTGCAGGCCTGGGGCTGGCAGTCTGGGCATCTACTTGGAGGATGGCAGTGTGCACTGTGGCAGTGGCAGGGGTTTCTTCCTGCTTTGTTTTTGAAATCCAATGTTTTGTTCCATTTTACTGTTTTGTTTTATCCCTGAATCTGGTAATATGAGTGGCTATTTTGAAGATAACAATATACAGTATTGTTCTGTTTTATTTAGATTTACAGTTTTGTTTTAGTGAATGTTATGTTCTGGTTAGTTTTATTCTGTTTTGTCTTGTTTGATTTTGCTATGTCTGATGCTATGACAAACTACTGTGAAGATAACAAGATATATCAGGGTAGCCACTGTTGATTTCCTATTTCCCTGTTTTGAGGTTCTGTACCACCTTCACTGCTTTGTTTTGATTGGCTTTATTCTATTTTGTTTTGTTGGAATCTATTCTCTCTTTTTTTGGTACCAGGGATTGAACTCACAACCTTGAGTTTGCCAGGTAGGCGCTTTTGCTGGTGAGCTAAATCTCTGGCCCCTTTATTCCCTTTAAAATAAAATAAATTTAAAATTTTAAACAGTGCAGGGAATTGAACTCAGGGGCTAATACACGCCAGGCAAGTCTCCCACTGAGCTACATCCCAGGCCCCACAAGACCAACATTCTCATCTGTCTCTTTAACTTAGATACCAACTGGTATTTGAAGTTAAAAGGCCTGAAACAAATTCATCACCTTTCCTCAACGTACCATTTTATTTAGTTTCTTATTTCTATGACTACCACATTGGCAATTACTCTGGTGCTCACATTTGGAACATTTTAAGAGCCCTATCAGCCAATGGCCAAGTCTTAAAGATGCCGTCTCCGCAGACTCACTCAGGCCTTCCTCTGCGTTCTGTGATGGTTGTAGAGCATTCCCTACAGCCCAGTCTCCCTGTCTCCTCTCTCCAACCTAGCCTGTGCACTGCTTCCATTTGTTGAGCAAAACTGCGTCAATGAACGGGTCACATCCTTCCTGAGAAGCTCGTCATGAATGAGAAAGTCACTAGCCCAGTGTTTCTCAGTGTCTAACACACAGCTCTTTGTGGCTACTGTAAAAAAGACTCACATCCCTCTTACTTAAGATTTTACAGAAACAAGGTTTTTATATTTCTTAAATACAAAACAGTGAGATTCAATCTGTTTTTTCAAACTACTCACTATACTCCTTGCTATGTCTAAGAATCAATACTATTAGATTGTGGGCTCTCTGAAGGAAGGATTGGGCCAGTGCCCAGTACATGGTAAGCACCCAAAATATGTCTACTGAACTGATTAGTAACTTGTTGATATAGATTCAGTCTACTTTTATATCTTACTGCTCTCTACTTCCACTTCATCAGCTGCTCAGAATATTACACTGGTTCTCAAAGCACGGCCACAGGAGCACCAGCATCAGGGTTCCTTGGGAACCCATTGAAAATGCAGTCTTCGGCTCCACCCTAGACTGACTGAATAAGGAAGTCCAGGACTAGCGTGGTGGCACTTGCCTATTATTCCAGATACCAAAGAGGCTGAGGTAGAAGGTTCTCACCTCAAGGTCAGTCTGGATAATACCCTGGCACTTGTCTCAACATTTTAAAAGTGCGAGTTTAGTTCAGTGATAGAATGCTTATTCAGAATGCACAAGACCCTGAGTTCGATCTCTAGTACTGTACCCCTGAAAAGGAAGGCTAGGAGTAGAGCCAGAACATTTATATATTTATAGGTACCCTTAGTTTCTAACACCATGGAACTCAACTATTTATTCTTGAACAAGCATTCTTCCTCCCCATTTCTGTGACTACTCTTGTAATTCCTTGAAAACACCTTATTTTCCAGGACCTGCCTAGTGATCAGTAAGTGGTTTTTTTTTTTTGTTTTTTTGTTTTTTTTTTTTTATAGAACAGCCAGAATTCTACAATGCCCATTTGATAACCCTTAGATATTGTCATTAACATTTTACCTTTTTATCGACAAACTATATTTCATACTATATTAGGAAAAGTGAGGTTACTCTTAGTTAATAATGCTGATGTTCTGAAAGAGTATGCTTAGTATAATTTTGCCTATTTTAGAAGTAAATCATGTATCATCACCTCTCAGCATTTAAAACTTACTACAAGTTTTACCATTTTGTGGGATCTTGAAAGGAGATACTTGCTCTCAATTTCAAAGTCATAAGAATTAAAGCATGAGATTTAATGGTTCCAGTTTTCCACAGTTGACACTAAGTACCTATAGACACATATCTGTTGACTTACTAAGTGTCAAAATCACACACATAGTCTTGGTGGTGACGAGGTGAGCAGACCTGCCCTTCACAGGCAAGTTCTCGTGTAAGACCCTTTAAGCCAGCAAGAAAGAAAAGTTGGTTTTTCCAAGCTGAAGAGAATTCATCCAAATGAATCACAGACTTAAGCAAAGCCCAAGTCTACTTATTGTTAGCCCAGAGGTCCTCACGTTACACCGTTCTACTGTGCAGGAGCCCAGGAGGACCATTACAGACAACACAGCCTATGCTCAGGCAGAACCACTCATTCTAACTCGGCATCTGGTCACTCACCAAGTGTATCAGCCGGCTCCACTGGCTCTTTAACAAGTTTTCTTAACAGACTGTGGTAAAGAACATGCTCAAGACAGAAATGCACTATGTACTTCTAGTACATAAAGCAAGCAGATAGCTCTTGCTAACATAACTGTAAGATGGGGTAAGTAAATGATAACAAAAGTCTCTAGGAAGATTCATTGCTTCATTCATGGGCTCTCAAAACTGTGGAAACAATGTACTTTTAATTCTATGGTTGGCCACATCCTTCTTCAAGTTCTGGTTTTAGTATCAACTGGTTACCTTTTAATTTATTTAAAAATGATAGGTCAAATCTGTTTTCAGTAATAAAATATCCAAACTCCAATCCATACTCCAGTTATTTTAGGTACAAACAACCATTATAATTTTTATAGCTGCAGCATTTTAGAGGCTGAAGGATGGTGAGAACAGCCAATCTTATTCAGTGGTGGCGAACCTATGGAACACAGGCTGTACAGGCCATTCATGACACTGAAAACTCGGAGAGGGTCGCCATCACTGTATACCACCATTATGTTAAAGGACCAAGATTTCTCAACAACTGTCGTATGAGAAGCTCGATGATCCTTTGGAATTAACATACAGAAAAGTAGCAGGAAAGCTTTCTAATAATCTGTGTTAAAATTTAAATCCACAAATTATTCTAATCCTATACTGTATGAAATACTGTGAGTATATATCACTTTTAAAATTAAAAATAAAAAATAAAAGACAGGGAGATTTTAATACTTACCTTAAGCAGGAAAATTTCACTAATATGACTAGGAAAAGATACTGCTATATATATGCAGGAATATTGTTTTCTCACTTTTTGTTTGTTTTTAGTACTGGGAATCAAACCCAGGGGTGCCCTACCACCAAGTTACATCCCAGTTCTTTTAATTCATGCACTGCTGTGTCCAGCTTGCTTTCACTGAGTCTGTTAACATTTAAACATTTTCTCTTTAATCTCCACAAAGTCCCATAATATAGAGTGGGATATAAGCGTTTAGAGAAGAAAAAGACTATAATTTAGAGTGACTCTAATTTAAAAGAGTGACTGATTTAAAAATTTCAAAAATTTTTAGTCATTTTCCTGTGTGAAATCTAGCCTTCATTATTGCTACTGTATGTCTAAAGAAACTGAGGCACAGAAACATAAAAATTATAAAATAGGAAACAGACACAGTCTTCAAATTTAAGGTTGCTTATTTTGAGTTTTGTATCTTAGGTAAAATTTCAAGACCTTACTTTACGGAAGGGAGGAAAATACAGGAGCACACATGCCTTACTCCCAATGCCCTGTGGGCGTCCCGTGAACATACCTATTGTTGTTCCGACAATTTCGACAGTTAACACACTCCAGAGGCTCCACCTGAGGGACTGCTGTGTACACTCCGCTACCCTGGTCAAGCAGGACGTCCAGGAGAAAAGAAAAGAAAAGAAAAGAAGAAAGTGCTGAAGGTGCTGCATGCATCTGTTAGCACACAGTCACAGGCACAAACATCACGTCAGCAGCCAGCAGGTGCCTGGTGTGTGTCTGCACCTGCTCCTGCGCCATGCTATGCTTGCTACTTAGTACTCAGACGTGAATTCTGCACAGCATGAAACTACACTCCGAAAACTTAACATCCATGTTTTTCCATATATTTCTGTAGTGGGAAAAAAGGCAAATGAAGGGAGACGGTTCATCACTTCCCTCCAATGTTTCGAATCTACTGGGCCCAAAATATATGGTACATCATGGCCGCCTATTCATTTTTCTTTTGCTAGCAGTCAGGGAAAACTTCCGGTGGCGCCAGCTGGAGAAACAGGGTGTGAAGTCTGAATGATGTCACACCAGCAACCCATCCTCACTTTCCTGCAATTATTTCGATTAGGTCTGTTCATTTGACTACATTAAGTTTTAGAACATGTCATATTTTTCCAGATGGAGCAGATTCTCAGCCAGCAATGCCTTGGAGGGCAACATCAACATTTGGATGTTTCTTTTGGCGGAAACTGCTCAGCAATTAAGAAAAATGCCCAGATTAACACATACCTCACTGTAAAAATTCACTTGACATACACGATGGCAAACCTGAAGTTAAAAACTGAACTGGCCTTACAGTTAAGAGTCAGAATTCTGCTTTTTGATGAATAACAGCAGAACTAAATTTGATAAGGGTGGCAGAAGTTGCCACCCTGCACCCAGACCTAAAGCAGGCCTTAAAAGCTGGGGAAAGTGCAGGCAGACGCTTTTGCTAGGGTATTTTACATTTCATTCTCCTCATAACAACAGCCAGAATCCAAACAAACCAAACACTGACAACTTTCTAGCACCAGGAATTATTAAAATACTAGGAGAGACTATTCTTATACTATGCTCCTAACAGTGACTCCAAAGACTCAGAAAAGGAAATTTACAACCTAGAGAATAACCTACTTATTCAAACCACTAAATATGTTAAAGTTAGTGATTGATTTTTATGAGCACTACCATTTTTAAATACCCTATGTCCTCCCACCTAAAGATAAGAGTGCGAAAATAGGTTAAAATCATAGACGTTAACTTCTAAAGTTATACCCTTAGTGGGGCCATTATTAAATAGTAAATCACTGTTCAAGAAATTCCAAGTTCTGTGTTCAAGCACTAAAGCAAATGTCTTTTCTGTTTATGGGAAAAGCGTGTGCTCTCCAAAATGTAACACTCTCTCCCTTCAGCTTCCTTCGCACAGTGTTAGCAGTGTAGATAGCAGTGCAGACTGGAAAATATAAATAAGGAAACCATTATCCTCTTTTGATAAATAAATGCACAAAAGTAAATTACTTTTTTAAATAACATACAAAAGGTGGTCACATAAAAGCCATAGGTTTCCAGCTTTAAGGTACAAAAATGTATTCCAGTATTGTTCTCCAGATGTAATATCTGGAGATGAAGAAAACCTTCTAAATTTACTCCAAATTACAGCACTTTGCAATGATGGCAAATTTATCCATAGTCAGAACAATGACAGAATCTAACCAAATGCTTAATTTGATCAACTGAACAAGTTATCTGTTTAGTTTAGAACACTGGAAGCACCAACCAATATTAATAAACCCAAATTTCCTAGCACTAGAGAACACCTTTAACCAGATTAAATATAAAATATGCTAGTTACTCTATGCCCATTTCAAAATTGGCAACACTAATGAACAGAGCTTAAAAGGCTTAGCTAGTTATCTCTAAAATAAGGGCATTTTAAGGGCCTGTCACTCTTTGCGACTAAAGAATACTAATATTCTAAATGCAAAAAGCCTACAAGCCACAATGACAAAGCAAAATGGAAAAAACAAACAATAACTCATAATAGGTTGGAAGTCAAACCCAGTTTCCTGTAGACATGTTTTGCATGGTCTTCACAGTATTTTGAAAAATCTGGAGCTAGAGATGTAGCTCAATGGTAGAGTCCTTGCCTAGCCTGTCCAAAGCCCTAGGTTCTATCCCTAGTACCACAAAAAAGTGAGTTCATTCTCAGCACGAATATTTCTGGTGACTTCTCTTAGATATACAGACATTTTAAAGGATCAAAAACCCTAGCAACACTAGGCCCCTTCCATCCCACATGCCAACCCCATAGGCACTAAACTGCAGCTGTTTGGTTAACAAGGAACCTCCCCAGGTGCTACCTCTCATGCCCAGCTTGCTACCATTTCCCTATCTGGCAAATGTCTTGGCATGTGTGTTTTCACTCCCTCCAAAGAAACTGAATGCAAAATATCTGCTCTGCTCTGTGCCCAGTGGCTTTGCCATTTCATCTCCAGAACAACTTCCACTGTGTTCTTTACTGATATACTACTTTGTGTGTTAAATAATGTAAAAATAGAAATATAACTATTACCTAGGATTCTTCTGGATCAAGGGGCTACTGGTGATACATACTGTTTTTACCCATGGAACCTACAGGGTTTCTGTAATGAGAACAAAGCTTGGCAACCCTCCTCGGGTACATGGCACCCTGAAGCCCAGTGAGGCTGCCATTACAATTTGGTCTCTTACATTTACTAGATGATGGGGATGCTCAAACCCCACATGGGTCCTGGAGAGTGAGTTGCTGTGTGCCGGGTAGAGTCCTCCATTTAAGCTCCCATTGACCAAGCCACTGACACCATTGGGCACCTTGGGATGGAGATGGGCGCAGCCATTACTGAGGCTGCCGTTGCCTAGGAAGCCTGCATGAATGTGTCCATTGATGCGGGTGGCTCCAGGGAGAGGAGCACATTCCACAGTCTGCCCGCTGATGTCCGAGCCCTGGTGGAGGTACCTCGGGGGGTCATATTCTGTTAAAAGGAAACAAAAATGCAAAAGAAGAGAAGAGAAGTCAGATGCTGAAAAGAAAGTTTCATTATTGACGTCCCTGAGATACTACATGTAGATTAAAATAAAACTATCTTAAATGTGTCATAAAGCCTACTTACAAGATGTACTTTAATAAAGTCATTTTAATGTGGAGATAAGTATAAACTTCGAATTAACTATGATTCTGTTAACAGGAAGAAAAATTAACCAGAGAAAAATCACCCAAGAGAAAAAGAATAAATTGTACGATCTAAAACTATCAAAGTATTGGCAACAACTAATGAACAGTGTTTAAAAGGCCTACCTGTTTCAAAGGGCTGAAAAAGCCTGCGGAAAGCAGTAAGGAAAGACTAACTTTAGGTCAGATATCTCATATAACAACAAGCAACGTTTTACAGAGAAGGATAGTGTTGTACATACACTCACTAACTATTCACACAGCTGTCAGCCATTAGAGCCCAGCTGCAGGCTGCGGGGAACCAAGAGCAAAAGGCTATTTCCTTATATTAAAAGCATTTACATATATACATTCTGATTTCCATGGATACCATATTAGACATATTTAGAAAAAATCTCCTTTGAACCATAGTATCTAAACTATATAGAATTTGTTGTTGGGGTTTTCATAATTTATTCAAAGGTATTAGAAATTGCATTCCTGGGCTTTCTCAAGCAGGTGTGTATTTACCATACCTATATATCTTTTCCATCAACCTACAAACTTTGAAAAGGCAGAGATCATGTTTAAATTATCATTTGTCTAGCATAATAACTGGCACATAGAAGACAAGTCAGCAAGTTATCTCCTGGTGACCTGAAGTAATGTCAACGACTTATTCAACACACACTAATGATTCCATACACACTCATGTAATTAAAGGTAACAGCATTTAGAAAAGGGCCAATCACAACCCTGACAGTCTGGCTTCAACACCTCTCTCCCTGTCCATTGACTATTTTTTTTCTTAAGCTATTAACTAAATAGCAGCTGTATGATAAGCTGGTGACAACCACTAGACATGCCTATTGCTAGTGGTGCCTTCTTGTTTTCTTTCTTGTCCTTATTCTAGGGCTGAAGAGGAAATTGAAAATCTTTTCCCACCAACATCTAAAATCCCTATTTGATTTGAATATCATATTTTATAATATTTGGGGGACTAGGAGAGATGAGTTATTCCTTTCAAAACAGTGCTATCACTAACAGTGCAAGCACACATATTATTAGATATCTGGGGGAGAGGATGCTATTCCAGAGCAATCCTGATACAGTGAGTGCAGACGGGTCCGTGGAATTTCCACTTGGGTGAGTCAGTGACAGTAATCTAGAAAAGTCTGCACTACACTCCTTGGAATCGAGCGGGTTCTACACCCTGCTGGCCACATTTGCCCCAGCGAGAAGCTGTTCCTCTGGCAACTGCAGAGCACACGTTTCCAAGGCTCACCCTCTCTGGTGGTCCCACAAAGCCAGAGTTTCTGAGCACCAGGTCAGCTATTGCCTTGGAGACCTGCTTGGTTTTGGCTTTGGTGTTTATAGTGGGCAGTTTAATTTGATGCTCCACTTACTTTGGCTGACTGCTAGCACGGTTTTAAAGTCATCTCCTCTGAATGAAGATGTCTAACAGGTTTTATACCACGACACTAATACGTGGAAGTATGAAGAATCGATATTCATTCTCACAATGTTTTTTCCTACCATCTTTAGAAAAACAGAAGGACACACTTATAAATGACTCACTCTGTATGGCATTCTGCTGGCGACTCTTCCACAAGCACATTGCAATGAAAACCATAAGGATGAGGACCATGACACCAAGCACACAGCCAACAATGAGATACAACATGTCACTGCTCCTGGTGGAACTAGCCGCAGGCCCAACATTTCCTCCATTTCCGGAGGAATTTGGAGGGGTGCTCAGGTCTTTGATGGGATACTCAGAAGCCCCAGGGACACGTTTCACTAGTTGAAATATAAAAGAAAACATGATGTCAGCGTGAATACAGAGTCTATGAAATGGTTTACTCTCTGAAGGAGGTCTGCTGAGGAATCCAAGCCAGTCTGTTTACACTCCCTGCAGAGATGACCTGACCACCAGTGAGTCACGAAGAAGGCTCCAGCTTAAATCTCATGCGCCAAAGTTTTGGTCCACAAACTTGAGAGAAATCATGAGTATCAAAACACACTCACTTGGTCGAAACTAAACTGCTACATAATTAGCTACTTAATTGTACTTTAGAAGGCTCCCAGAGCCTCGAAATAAAAGTACTTCAGCTTACAGATGGAACAAAAATGCCTTTCCATCTGATGTATTCTGCACTAAGACTCAGAATTATAGATTTCATACTTTTATCATGTCTTAAAAGTAACCACATAAGAAAGTACGGCTTTGGGGCTGGGGATTTATCTCAGTGGCATAAGCGCCTGCCTTGCAAGCAGGCAGTCTTCAGTTCAATCCCCAGTACCGATAAAAAGGAAAAAGACAAAAAAAAAAAAAAAAAAAAGAAAAGAAAGAAAGAAAGTACGGCTTTTAACTATTAGAATGACTATATATAATTTGCAATCTCTATGCTTAATATTAAGGATTTCCAAAGCACAGACTTTTGGAGTCCATGTAAATGTGATACTTTTACCTGATTCATTGGTATTCTGGACAGTAATAATAAAAACAGGTGGAACATGAACCCCATCCTCTCTATTCCCAATCTGTATGTTCTCTGTGCTCTAAATGTCACAGAAAAGTAGCAGAGCACAGTGGCTGACAGCACGGTCTCTAAAACCAACTCACCCGGATTTGTATTTTATTTCTACCATTTGTCAATAGATGTATGAGTTTTACCATCAGGAACCACAGTTTCTACATTTGGAAAATGGGGACAATAAGAGTTCTATCTTGTGGGGGCTGGGGATTTAGCTCAGCAGCATAAGCACCTGCCTTGCAAGCAGGCAGTCAGTAGTTCGATCCCCGGTACTGATAAAAATAAAAAAAAAATTTTAAAAAAAGAGTTCTAAAGGTGTAAAGAAGAGTGCTATGGCTTGATGTCACCTCCAGAACTCACACTGACATTCAGTTGCCATGGTAACAGCGTTAAGCAGTAGGGTATGAGTACAATCTCAGTAATCCGAGAGGTTCAGGCAGGAGGACAGCAAGTTCCACTCCAGCCTAGGCCACTTAGCAAGACCCCAGCAATGACCTTTTAGACTGTGTATATTAGCTCTAACTAATACATGTAGTTACAATGGAGTAGTCTATATATGTGTACCTAGAAAATGGCCCAAAGTAGAAATTTCCCAAGGAAAATGTATCACTTTAGAACTGGAACTGCAGCACTACCCAGGGCAAAAGCACAAATTCTCACGCTGCACCCACCTTTAGTCTCACAGATCATCACATTGCTGAACTCACTCTCTCCTCCTTCATTGAAGCACTGCATTTTAATGTCATACGAGGTTTCTGGCTGCAAGTGGCCAATCATGTGCCACTGCTTTGAACCTAGAGGTGAAAAAAATAGATAAGCTCTGCCTGTCACACAACCTAAGAGACAATGTTAGTGTAATTCTTCAATATTTTCAGAATGAGGTTGGAACAGCATCCATCACCACCTAGTTCAATTTGTGCGATAAAAACATACTTCATGTATTTTAACAGTGTACCACCAATAAACAGCACTCCTACATAAAAAAGTAGAGTTGAATTAAAGCTATATCTCTTTTATCATAATACTTATTTTATTAAAAAAATAATTAGCAGCCTTTCATAAAACAATGTTCACTTTGTGTGTAAGTAAAAAGAGATCAAGTCTTTTGGACCTTTTTTTCAGCCCAGGAAGTCAATCCACTATGTACACCTACCTAAAAGCAGTACCATAAATGAATCAGCAGACAGTGCACCACCCACAGCAAGGAGGCACTTACAAGCAACCCCTTTTCGAAGCTCTTGGATTCATTACCACAGACACAACATGGACTGACAAACAATGCCTTAGCTAACAGCTAAGAATCAACCAAAAGCAAACTCCTGCAGGAGACCCTCCGTCATTGCACCCAATGCTATTTTTTCTTTTGAGTCAGGGTCTCCAAATTGCAAAAGGATCTCTAATAGACCAATTCTCTTATTCGTGGCGTATAGCCAACATTTCATTTAGAAACACTCCTAAACTGACCACTCAGGGATAAATGACTCTCCATTTTCACTTCCATGGACGAGTGACAAACTTTCATAAACAGGGACACTTTTACCCGATTTAATGAACTCTTCGAGCACTCTTAATCCCCGCTAAAAAACAACTCTTCAAACTGTTTCCACTGTTAGACAGAAATTCGAGTACACCACCAACTGATCTAAGAATTAATTAAAGGGAGCGAGAGAAAGCAAAACAAAACCGCACGTGCAAGTCCCGTCCACTTGGCTGACAGACCAGCGTATCACAGGCTCCTTCCAGTTCCATGCAGACAAAAGCCTTTCAGTCTGGAAGTACAACTTTCCTTCTGTGTTACCTACACAAAACCCTCGCCCACACACTCTCACGTTTTATAAGGGAGAAAAAAATCTTGCTTGCTTTAGGGTCAAGGGTTTCGGAAAGATTCAAGAAGTAAGGAATTCTGTGCCTCATTTATAAAGGCTAAGAGAAACACTGAATTACTTTTATTCAAATACTGGTTGAAGCTGAAAAAGATCTATTTCTAAAACCTAAACGTTTCCCCCGAAGAAGTCTTTCCTGACCAGGTCCCCCTCTCACCGACTGCAAACATTCTCTTAGTAACTGCCACGCGAGGCCTGACATCCTCCTCTTATAGCACTAGAGAGAATGCAATTGCACCAGCTTCTGATCTGTTACTAAGAAAACAGCTCTGGTATAGTTAGATTCATATGCTGTTGTTACAGACATTCTTCCAATGGCCACAATTATAAGAACTATCAGTAAAGAGAATGCATCTTCAGTGATCAAGTGCATCATCAGGTTTTAAATCAATCAATCAGTACATAGCCATGGCTAAATAAGCAGGTATTTTCCAAAAGGAAGTTTTAGAAAAGATTTATCACAGAGAGAAATAAAAACGGGGACTTAAACTGCCAGAATAATCTCTGATTCTCCAGAACCTGACCTTATTTTACAAGATAAAAACACTCAACGCAAAAGCACTGGTATGCGGGACAGAAGTTAAATGTGAACTTAATGCAGAAGGTGGAATACTTAAATAATATCAGTATTTTTCTACTGTATTTTAAGTTAATGGTTTCAATTTTCTAAAGCTTAAATTTTGGGCCAATATATCTAAGTAATCAGAAGCCCTTAGAGTAAATTTTAAGCACAAAAGATGTATACTTTTCCTCCTGAGTTTGGGAGAACACACCAATAGTTCCAATTACCACAAAAAGAATTTCAAATGCATAAACTTGAAAATAAGAAATAAGCAAATTGTGCACCACAGTGAAACCCACTAAAACATCTAACATCTGGATATATTAGGCTTACAAACAAACTCTCTGTGAGCCATAAAACAAAACTCCCATTTTAGACACTATTACTAGACACAAAGGCTTTGTCAAACTGATTTCCAAGTCCCACGCTCAATATTCAGGTCACACAAGTCTGAAAAAAATTCCAAGATTTGCCTATTGTTTGAAACGTGTTTATCACTGGGTATTCCTAGAAAGCAGAACTAGGAAGAGAGGGAGACAGAAACACATATTCGTTTTATTTACATTTGCGTGTTAGAGCCATTTGATAAATAAACATTTAATTACTATAAAAATTTCTAACAGTAAGCCAGGCGCACTGGCACATGTCTAGAATCCCAGCACTTGAGAGGCTGAGGCAGAAAAATCGTGAGTTCAAGGCCAGCTGGGCTACATGATGATACCCTATCTTGAAAACCTAAAATTTTAAATTAAAAAACTGTAAGTTTTAAATAATAAAACCCTAACATCCTCATTCTCTTAAATAAGCTAACCTAAAATTAAGATAGGATGAAAAGGCAGAACAATAATAAACAACTGTCTTTTATTTTTTAAGTGGCCTTTTATTGATATAAAATATACACATGCAGAAAAGTTACCCAGAACTGTATAGATCATAAAGTGCTCACAAACCAAATATAGTACTTAATAATACTTAGTAATACTCCTGAAAGCACAGGAGACTGCTGGTACCCCAGTGTTTCCCCATGCAGCTACCAGTTACCATCTTGATCTCTAAGAGCACACAACAGCTTTGCCACTAAAAACTACAGCAGAAGAGACAACAGTTCCTTCCTTCAAAAACTATTTATCTGCCTACTACATGTTAAGTATAAAAACTCAGACCATAAATTTTTCATTACATGACAAAATTCCACTGAATATGAAAAAGTACGCTGGGGCTGGGGATTTAGCTCAGCGGCATAAGTGCCTGCCTTACAAGCAGGCAGTCATGAGTTCGATCCCTGGTACCGATAAAAAAGGAAAAAGACAAAAAAAAAAAAAAAAAAAAAGAAAGAAAGAAAGAAAAAGTACACTATAATAGAGAAATGTAACATAGCATATTTAAAGTAATTTATTATAACAAAACACTGTATTATCTGACCTCAAAAAGTCATATAGAAAACAACTTTGGCCTAGGGCAATTTTCTGACATAATCCATTCAGACATTCAAACACTCTCCCCTCCCTGTTTTTCTCCTCCTCTGCCCCAACTCCCTTGCTTCCACGAGCTAAGCACATTTGTTCCACTGTACACGCCCCCATCATGATGCTCTGCCTCACCACAGGCCCAGGAACAATGCAGACGAGTAACCATGAACTGAAACCTCTGAAACCATGAGCCAAAATAAAAGTTTCTTTCTTTTAACTGATTTTTCTCAAGCATTTTAATACAGAAAGCAGACTAATATAACACCTCTCACCATCTTGGCTATTTCCTTTTTCAAAAATTTTCCATGCATTCCAATTCTCAGAATCTCTAAAGTAGATGATCTGATCTTTTTAGTACAGATATTAATAACAGTGAATGTGCTATTTTTAAAATGTAGCTAGAAGTTTCAATGAATTTTTATATTTAGGTCACTGGTCATTGAAAGAAAAAAATCAAAATCCTTTGCAGTTGAAGTATTAACAAACACTTTTCCCCCATCCTTTTGTAACTGTTTCTGCAGTGAAAGTAAGAGACACTACACAGAATAAACCAGAAAATTTGGCTTTCCTTGGGACAAATTCAAAAATGATGGTGCAGTATCATTTCATGAGGTTTCATGTTTATAAGAGCTCTCCCTCCAGAGTTCCTTGGTAAAGACCCCAGCTTGGCAGTGGGACTTACCTTCTACAACATCCCTCTTGTAATCACTGTCATTGTCACTATCTGTTGGTCGATAGTAGATATAAAATCCTTGAATGGGAGTGTTATTGTTACTTGATGGGATATACTAAAAAAAAAAAAGATACGAAACAAGATTTGTCAAAGACAAAAAAGAATTAATTTTCATATCAAGATTTTGATATCTGTGTGGTAATACTTTTCTAGCTCTATTTTGCGAGCATACTTAATGGCTATTTTTAACTTAATTCAAACATATTTAAAGGTAGTTAGTAGAGCATTCAGCAAAGTACAGGTCTGTTCAAAGGCATAAAAGTATGCTAGGTTCAAAATGAAAAAATCACAAAACGACATTTAAATTAATGGCTACAAAAAATAAGAGAATATAAGAAGGTAGACATGACTAAACCAGGAAAGACTCTCACTAGGAAGATGGTTACCTACCGTCCACTTGAGCATGATCTGAGTGTCGCTAACGGCCTCTGTGTATGCAATGTGAGGCCCAGCTATGGGTCGGCTGGAAAAACGTTTGGGAAATCCAGCCACCTGGTAAGGACGAGACGCTGAACTCCGAAAACTCTCCCCGTAGTGATTGATAGCAATGACCCTGAATTTGTATATTGAACCTTTAGGGGGAAAATAAAAACAAAAACCCTGTAAGTATAAGAAGCTATAGTAAGATATCTGAAGGTAGACTATTCAAAATGACAATTATATTTGTGTCTGTCTACTATAATCGCACATTCCAGTGCCTACATGCTAAACAGATGTCAGCCCACTTGCTGACTGCAGTCACTGGGGACTGGCTGTTCAATGCCTTGCACTTGAGAACCCAAGACATTAGTAGGAGTCACAAGAACGGATGCCATGAGCATTAGTGATGCGTGGACAAAGAGGACAGACATTGACTCTTTACCAGCCATCTGCAGTTACACCCTCAGAGACAGTACCAACTGAAATACCAGTTTCCCTTTGAAAGAAAAACTGAAGCGAAGTTTAATATGGGCAATATATTTATAAAGAAATCATAAAGAAGTAACAGCAGATGTCCCTCTGGTTTCAAGAAAAAAAAATAGGATAAAGGAAAGCAGATTTTTATCACAATAGAAGAAATTTATCTAGATTAAATATTAATAATGCTTAAAATGCTTGGCTTTCTAGTTTTTTGAAAATCAGAATCTAAACAATACAGTAAAATCTTTTTTTTTTTTTGGTCAGTACTGGGGACAGGCCCCATTGCACTCTTTCTTTACTTTTTATTTTGAGACAGAGACTTGCTGAGTAACTAAACTGCCCAGGCCAGGCTTGAACTCATTATCTTCCTGCCGAGCCATACGCAGTTCTGGGGTGGTAGGCATGTATCACCACACTTGCTATATTTTCTCTACTTTCAAATTTCTTTTTACTATAAGCATTCATTACTCTGACAACAATGACACAGTAAGAATACGTATCTAAAATTAGCACTGATGTCTAGAAAAAGGAAACATCTGAATATCAGGACCTGGTTCTAAGTTACGAACTTCCACAGAAAGTTTGGAAGGGGGGATGTCTTCCGCTGCCACCAGCCAATCGCCGGTCCTCATCCGTTTGTATTCCACCTTGAAGGCTGTGATGGGAGAGCCACCGTTTGCCCGGGGAATCCATGTGACGTAGACTGAGGTCTCAGATGCCGTGGAGATAGTTGGCCGGTCTGGGGCCTCGGGAACTGCAAAGGGAAACACTCATTTCACAGGAACCCACAGTGACAAGAATAACCTGGAGACAAGAATAAGCTAAACAAACCAACAGGGATAAACCCCAAACCTCATGCTATTAATGGCTTCTCACTAAAGTTTCTGCCAGAGTTAATATTATGGCTGTCTTCCTGGCATGTGCAAAAAGCTAAGGGAAATGAAACAGTGAAAAACAAGAAATAGAAAAAAGGAAAAGAAAAATGACCAATGACTTGATAATCAGCTCTGAGACAGTTAATGACTGTGACAATTCTGACTATGCCATTTTGGAATCATGAGTAAAATAATATGTGAGTAATTATTACTTGGTACATCCAAGTGTGCTGTGGTTACAGCATAAATAACAGATTCTCACAATTAATTATGCGTTACTTACTTAAATGTTTTCCTTTATCCAACCAAACTACATAAAACATATTCAGCCTACCTAACCTCCTAGTAATATATTATTATATTGACCATTACCATTACATCCCATTTCACTATATCTCAAGGTTACATGAATTGTTATTTCAAAATATAGATTCCAAGGGGCAAATAAACACAATTTGGTTAAATCAATACTGGTAATAATGGGACAAGAAAATACTGCTTGGAATAAATGCAGCAAGAAAGAATGTGTAAGTAATGGAAAGTGTTCTCAACAAGAGGAGCCATGTGAATATGCAGGCAAAGGGGGCCGGGGAGCTGCCCTCTGGCAGCCTCCAGTTAGTATGGCCAAAGGAAGGGGGTCCTAATGCACAAGTTAGACAGACCGGACCCTGCGGCAGGTGGCAACATCAAGACTGAGTCCACCGGGGGCTGGGGATTTAGCTCAGCGGCATAAGCGCCTGCCTTGTAAAGCAGGCAGTCGTGAGTTCGATCCCTGGTACCGATAAAAAGGAAAAAGACAAAAAAAAAAAAAAAAAAAAGAAGAGTGAGTTCACCAGCCACTTAAATCACACGCTTAGTTCCTCCACTAACCAAGAAACCTGAGGGTTACTAAAAAAATAAAGAGAATTAAGATTTGTCGTGTACATGTAATAGCTCCCCACAATGAGTGCAAACATGTACTAATAAGAAAAATGAAAAATTTAAAAACCACCTTCTCCCTTGGTTCCTACGAGGGAAGGAGGGAAGAATGCTGATAGAAACAATCTGGTCCACTCGACACTCACAGAGCAATGGTGAACTGCCATTCTGCTTTCCAGAGTCACCTGTGAGCTCGTAAACATGGAGAGGGGGACTCGAGTGATCACACATCTTCTGGGGAGCTGACAGCAGAGGTCATGAGCGGAGCATCAACTCCTGGCCAGGGTAACGTGGCTTTGGTGAAGCCATTAAGGAAGTTCTCTACCTAGCTGTGCCGTGTACCTCAAGCAACACACTTCACTCTCAAGGTCTCTTCAGCCCTTCTTATAAATACATAAGAAAGAAGGTAGCAACAGTGAAGGTAGCATCGTATGGGGAAAGCTGTGGCATTTCAAGAAACAATAGCTTAAGGGACAATAAAAGGAATAGATTCAAAGCAGGCGACCTCCAGCGATACTTACGGTATTCCTTTCAATTAGAAAGCAAGGGAAACAGAATGAGTAGAGCTGTTAGTGAAACTTTTTAAATACCAGAAAACCAAGCAACATCTTTACATTGATTCACATGAGGCTCGAACTCATTAACTACCACGGATCATATAAGAGAAGAAAGTTATTGAGGAAAACATCTTAGGTGTCTTAAGGGTACAGCACGTGACTGTTCAGTAGGTGTAAAAGAAAGCATGCTCAGTTGGCACTGGAAAACCCGGATGTGAGCAGCAGTTCCACTAACGTCTGTGCAAGCATGCTGCAAACTCCTGGAGCCTCACCTTCCTAACCTGCCTGATGGATACGCCACTTTCCATTGTCAGGAAGACAAATGAAGCACTTCTTGGGGCTGTCTTGTGGGTAATTCCAAACTCAAGACCTTCAAAGCTGAATTCATACCCTCCACCCAAAGTTTCACTACACCAGTCACCCTAAATAAAGCTTCAAACCTCTAAACAAACTTGAACATGGCATGTGTCCATCTCTTGTGTAAGAAGTCTTTGCCTAGAACCTCATTTCCGGTTTCTCCATCTCACTGTCCTTTTTGTCCTCTGTGGCTCAGCTCAGGGAGCTGAGGAGCCCACTCACCATTACTCATCCTCCTTGGTATCAAGCTGATGACATGGGTACTTCTCTTGTGATCCCGTAACACCATCAGTATAATCTCAAACAGAATGAATCAAAATCATTGCTACGGTCTAACTGTCTCTACAGTTATGGCAAAGGTATTTCACCTACTGATTAGGATGGGTTAGATGTCTCTACCATTCCTGTACTACACACTCCTGCAAGCAAGGATCATTTCATCTCTGCTCTCCAAACCTTTAGCACAGCATTTTCCACAGGGTGTCGTAAACAAACCCCACAGGTTTTGCTCTTCAGATTTTTGCTTTATTCACATAAAGTACACACTCGTAGAAGGGATCTGCTTAAAATGACTGAAAGGTACCTCTGAGGTGAAAGCACTCAGGTGAACAAGGCCCACAGCATTCAAGAGGGGAGTTCAAAGCATGGTGACCTGCTTTTGCTGCAACCAGTTGTGGAAAACTATAGGAGAGATGTCTGGAAACCCTCAACTGAGAAATGTAAAGTCTTCCCTACATATGCAGACATATTAGCACAACCACAGAAAGCACATTAGAGGTCTGGCAGCTTGCCAACAATATACGGCACGCTTGCCTAGCACGCACATGGCCCTGGGTTCAATCCCCAGCTCCACACATGCACATACACACGTGCGTGCACAAAAACCCACAAAAAAACTTTTGGTTAGAACTGTAAATGTGCAACTCAAATATTAAGAAGCCATTTGAAAACTTTCCTGCTCAGACATTTAAAATCCCTAAGATAACTAGATATGGTGATCAAGTGACTGTGACATGTAACTTAGTAACGTAATTTACCAGTGGCACCTCCACTGAGGATAAATCACGCACACACAAAAGGTTAGACTCTCTTAATTCAAAAGGTCAAGTCAGTTTTCTTGCCAACCAGGAAACAGAAAAATCCTTTCTGTGAGTTATAAAAACTTAGTAGCAGAACATTCTGAATGAGTCTACCACGTTAAATAAAATCATGACAGAGCTGCCAAATTAAATCTAGGACATTAAAGAAATGACTGAAATAGGACACAAAGGAGACAAACAGCAGATTACACCCTAATTTTCTATCTACGGATCCCCCAAAATCTAAAGTGGGTCAATGGAGGTGTAAAAAAGCAAGAAGAATAGAATGAAGATCCCTTTCTTTACCTCCACTGTGCCTGGAGGCCTCGGTCAGCACCACTCCAAAGTTGCTATTCGCAGCCTCTGAAACTGCAGGATGCTTAGGGATCCCTGCAGGCGGGGAGGACGCCTGAGTGTTTTTCGATGATGCTGTTTTCTCTACAAAAAGTTTAAAAAAACAAAAATCAAAACCTCAATGCAACTTTTGCTTATGTATGTAAATTTTTTTAAAAGTACGATGAAACTTAACTGGGGTACAAATATAGAGATAGGACTAACCTGCCACCCATCTAAATATAACACCTATATTATAAATACTCAGCTGATCTTAAGAACTGACCAAAAAATGACTTTGTTTTTTTAGTACCTTTAAGAAAAAACTAAAATGTGTCTTTCTTCATCGTACTAACTTTAACACCAGGGAAACAAGTGAAAACATCAAATGAGGTTTTCAAACTATTAATCCATTTTTCTTTGTACTATATATATTTCTTAACAAAATTCAACAATTCACTGCTTAAAAGCATCTGCTAAGTTTTTTCATAGAAAAAAGGTCAGACACAGTAAGTTTTAACATTTCTTAGGCAAAAATTAAGACTGGTGCTTTTTAAAAGGTAAAATACATTATTATTTGGTATTTATTGGTCACTCTATAAAGAATTTGGACCAATGGTGAAAATTAGCTGAAGGTATATTTAAATAGCACTCATCACTTGCTGACCAGACTTGGTCATTAGATGAGAAGGTCTTTTTCAAGAGCCAGCAGAGAACTTCTCACTCTTGACTTCCCTCTGCTACAGAGCCAAATGGAAAGTTTCCCAGTCCCCATCCCCATCCCCATCCAGGGGTGTCCTTTCAGGCCAGGTCATGACAGCACCTTCAAGTCAATTTCCCTCAAGGGCTGTCCCATTCCTTGAGCTCTCTTGCCCAGCACTGTCTTTAGAAAGCACTCACAATACCTGTCATATTTGGGGTCTCTGCTTGTACCCTTGCCGCCCTCTAGTCCTCTCCTACCCCACAGCCAGAACCATCCTGTTAGACCAGAGGGCGTATAATGTCATGCTCTGCTCAAATGGTCTTGCTCTTCCCAGCTCACACAGAGGAAAAGCCAAACTCCTTGCAAAGTCCAAGGCACTATGCAATTTAGGGACCCTGTCATCTAGCTGAGCATCTTTCCACTTCAGCCTCCCACTCACTTTGCTCCCACCACTGCAGTGACCTTGGCTCTCCTAGGGGTACACCAAGCACACCCCACCTTGGCACCTTGGCACTTTCTATTCTCTCTGTTGGGAGTGTTCCTCCCCCGGACTGCCACAAGCCTTTGTACCTCCTTGTTATGACTTATGTCTGGATGTCCCCCCAAAGCTTTCTGTAGTCACAGCGGGAGCTCTTCAGAGATGTGACCACTGCACCAGTCTGCTGAGTGGTTTGGCATAGTTGTGGCTAGGACTGAGGGTGTGAGTGCTATGCGGGCCTAGCACAGGTAGCCTGCATACAATATGAGGGACAGAGAGAGTGCTAATGTGCTCTCACCTGCCTGCTTGCCCTGGACTGTTCCTTTTCTGTGATACCTCTCTGCTGTATCACCCTGCCTTGGGAGCCAGCCAGTCTGGGCTGAAATCACTATAAACCATAAGCCAAAATAAACCTTCCCTCCTTTAATTTTGGGTGTCAAGTATTTTATCTCAGCAACAAGAAAAGTAACTAAGATACTCCCCACCACCGCCTGTAAGCCTACCACCAACTGATCACTGAAATTCTTGGCCAACAACTCCCAGCCCAATGTGTCTCATATCCATCCCTGAACTTATTTCTCTCATTAACACTACTCTCTAACATACTAATAAATTAGGTATAAGCTTCTCCCAACTAAATGTGAACTCTGTGGGGGGAGAGTCTTATCTATTTTGTGTACTGCTGGACACATGAAGTGTGGTAAATATCAGCTGAACTGAGTCAAATTCTGTTTTGCATTTGCTATCTAAGTATGGATCTACCTTCTTTATGGAAGTGCCAGCTGCACTGGGATAGTTCTGGTCATGACCATCTCTGCTTTCCCTGCATTACCTATTCTAATGCTACATATCACAAGCTCTCAGGGATGCTGGTAAACACTGAATGGAATGGAATACTACAACTATTCAAATTTATATTGAAGAATCTACTGTCCAAGAGGATTCTTACGCATGGCTTGGTATAAAGACAGCCAGCCCCTTCCTCTGACGGACGGTTACACTCACCTTTGCTGGTTCGGAAGGTGAGCATGGCGGGCTGTCCTTCGCCTGCGGCACTTCTTGCTACCATCAAAACCTCGTAGAGACTGGAGGGCTCCAGCTCTGTTAACTGTAGCTCGTTTTCACTGCCAGGGACTCGAACTGTGTGCCAGCTCCCCACAGCACCAGCACCATCGTCCAGCTGCTCGAGAGAACCCCAAAACAATAAGAGATAGAGGCAGGAAATCCTTCATCCAAACTTGATAAAAACTAGAACTCACATGATGTACCATTGTAGGCAAAGGAGATACAATACTATTCACATTAAGAAATGTGAGGAGCAAGAACTCAAAAATTACCACTGTCACGAGATTCCTGGGCCTCCCAAAGTCTGTTTCCTCTACCTGTAAGAGGAACAATACCCCCTTTCTTACTGGGCTAGTGGAAGAATTTTAAAAGTATACAGTATTAGTGTTATATAACATACATGATAAATTAAGATAGATTTTATATCAAATATGTTTGTATGCCTATGAACTATATAATTATGGATGAAAGATTTCTAGCATTCTTGCTTCATGGATTAACATTGTTTAATATGTAATCAGAGGAAATATAAAGAGATCCAATTAGTTGTTTCCTGGTTAATGAGACAAAGAGACAATACTGCAAAATGGTTGTAGGGTAGATGATTACCAACAATTCACTTTCCTTCATCTAGAATCATTGGGTTATGAACAGTGAATAAGCTTCCTAATTTCATTACAATGGTTTTTCTAGTCATTGAAAATATTAGACATTACTTAAATAGATACCAAAGTGTCTTAAACAAAGAAAATTTTAAATAATGATTTTAAATATGAATACATATCCTATTTCAGTCATTTACAAATCTCATTAAATAAAGAAAGGAGCTTTTTCATTTTACCATAATACAAGCCCATGGAGGAAAAATATATGAAAAATCAACAAAGAGAGGTCCAAGGTTTACTACTACAAATGACCAAATAATGTGAGATTCTAATACAATTAAGAATACAGCCTAAAATACATAAACAACTCTCAAAAATTATGCCAAAAGGCTTTGTTCAAACAGTTGTTTCTAGGAATAACTGCTTTATGTGCTGATTAAATTGCATCCTACAATCTCAGCAAGGGATGGAATTACAGTTTTAAAATGGTTCATAGAGCTTAAAAGCAAAAGGATAAAACAAACAACTTGATTCAAAAAATATGAAATGGTTACTAGGTTTTTAGAATCCCAATTTGGAGAAAATTGCTTATAATTCAATCTCATTACTGCTGTAAGACTGGTAACCAGCATGACTGGATCTCCTAAGCTTATCACTCTGGAACACCCTTGTTCCGTGGGCGCCCTTCCACAAATGTAAAAGACATTAAGCACACAGCACACAAAGAGACAAAGATGGTAAAGAGGAAGACGTCACCTTTCGATACTTCACAAAATAGGCGTTGATGGGCAATCCCCCGTCCTTGCCCGCCCTCCACACCAGGTGGTACGTGTCAGCTGTGTAGGTCTGTGGGGGGCTCAGGATGATGGGGGCATCAGGCACAGAGCCGCCACTGGCATTTTTTTCTGATGATGACTGCACTGCACCAGGATGTCCCTTCCCTGGAAATGAACTCAACAAGCCAGATTCTGAACTGTCTCTATGGTCTCTTTCATCACTCTGAATAGCATCAGGAGTCACAGCTCTTCCCTCTTTTGTATCTGTTTCAGAAGGAACTGCAGGGGGACAGAGACAGAGACAGAAAAAGAGAAGTGAGAGTTTGAAAGAAACTCATTATTTCAGTGTCCTCTACCCAGCTGGTAATACGACTGCCCACGCTGGTATTACCAGCACGTTTTGAGCCCTGAAAGTTAAAACACAGCAACATCTACACTCTACAGTCTGTTGCTCATGGTAGAGTAAATGAACTGTTTGAAAAACAATTCTGTGATGTGATGGTTGAGTGGCTTACAGGTTTTTCCTTTGCATTCTCCGAGCAGTCCCTCTTTATTAACAATTTGCTGGACCAACCTCAGAAGATCTAAGTTGATAAACAAAACATACGTGGTAAATAAAACACAATGGACACTGCATTCCCCTGGAAACAAGGTAACAGAGAAAGAAAGAAAATGGGCAGAAATTAGAATTCTGCACTTCTGGAGGCTGAGGCAGGACCATCAATCATAAGTTGGACTTCCACTTGGACAATTTTTAAAAACATGTATCAAAAACAGTTGGGGATGTAGCTCAGTGCAAAGAACCTAGGTTCAATTCCTAGTAACCACCTCCTTCTCCCAAAAAAGAATTAGGATCTCACACACTGGGTAATTAGTCTCAAATTCTACCCGTGTCACATAGTTCTCTCCTGTACTGAGTCCAGGGCATTGGCGTATGTGTCCTTGAGGCCTGGCACCACACAGATGTCTGGCCCCACTCACCACTCATGTGTAAGAGGACATGGAGAGGGAGACTGGGGAATCCGGCCCCCAAAAGTGCCAAAGCTGTGTCAACCATTCTGTCTCCAAGTGTCCTCTGATTATGAGATGCGACTGAAAAATGTTTTGCTTTTTTAAAAAAACAAACTACAATGAAAGGCTCGCTGCCAGTTAGCCCTCTCAAGCCACCTTCCCTCACCTCAAACACACACTGTTCTTGCCACTCCCCGAGGTCCTCCTCTGTGTCTTTCACTACACTGCCAATGCCTGCCTCCGTGTCCTCAATCAATTCAAAACCTTCACTTTCCAGGACTATCATGAGTTCAAGGCCAGCCTAGGTGACATAATGAATTCAAGACCAGCATGGAATGCAGAACGAGCCACTGTCTCAAAACAACAACAAGCCCTTCACTTTCACGACCAATTTGACTCTGGGGAGTAGCCAGAAGTCACATGGCGCCAAACCGGGTGGAAGAGGTGGGGGAGGATACAGCAGAATATTCTTCTAAGCCTCCCTTTCTGTTGGGTAGCACACAGCAGCAGCGTCCACCATATTTTTGATTGTCCCCCATAAAGACACGCGTACAACTGCATACAGACCAGAAGAACTGCTACCTGTATCCACTTAAGGGGACATTAAGTCATTAAACTTTTGGGTAGTCAGCTATGCTGCATCAGGGTCCCCCCCCACACACAACCTGACAGATACCTACCATATCAACCCACTCTCAAGGAAAGGGAAGAAATGCAACCAGTAAGACCAGCAGAGACAAAGGTAAGGTTTACACCTCATAGATATGGAACTGATTTCAAAGTCCTATTTCTGCATAGAAGTGAAGGTTAGGTTAAGAAATTACAACCTAAACACCAACAAAATAGGCAGACAGTGTCAATACTTACGAAAAACAGTATACAGAATTTACATAGGAAGATAAAAAAACATTTATGTGCCCTGAAAATGCAAACAGGTTTTCTGATCTGATAAAAATCTGATCTGATTTCTGATCTGATAAAAATTACTAAGAACATTTCACAGGCCAAGCACTGTGCATGATATTAATAAACACAATCTCACTGAATTCTCAAAGCAGCACTGTTAGGTAGAAGGTAATGCCTCCACTTCCTAGATGAAGAAACAGGCTTCGGAGAGACTAACCAGCAACAGCTGTCAGTCCAATGTTGGTGGTGCTGCTGTGGAAAAAGGGAGAGGAATTTATGAAAACAAATCCCCTGCCAGCATCATAAAACTAAAGGATTGACAGCTTGGTTTCTCTTAAAGTGCTAGGAATACTGGTTACAAAAAAGATAGATTATTCATTTCTTTGTGAAAGAAGAGAACAGAGGAAACAATGTCACAGTTACAAGAAAGTTCAGACTCCTGGTAAAGTTTGGGTGTGTTTTTAGACCTACTGCCCAAGGAAAATCAGACTAATAGCTTAAGGTCAGTTCCCTGTGAGTGTAAAAGAGAGAACAGAAGGCCCATGAGCATCCTCCATCAAAGAAAACAAGAAGCTAGTGAGAAAATAATACAGAAGAAAACTACATTCACTGAGACAACTTGAAAATATTGCTCCTGGAACAGCTGTGTTTACCTAGTGAGTCAGAGGCTGTGTGGATGTGCGGGTCCAGCGGGTGCCTGCCTGCTAATGCACAGAAACAGACTCTTGAAATTGGAAGTAATTAGCTGTGGCTTGGGTAGCAGGGAAACCACTGCATCATTAGCACTTTCATGGGACCTCTGGGCAGCTGACCGCTGGGAAGTGGCATCTGGCTACAGAAGAGTTCCCACATCAAATGCCTCAGTTTACACAGAGGCACACACACAAAAAGTGTTATACCACAGCCTATCCACTGCAAGAGTATCAAATCCAATTTCTGTGATCCAGGTACCATGCCGGCTTTCACAGCTCTTATCAAAACAGGGATCCAATTAGCTTCTGCCAATCCCAATGATACAATTTGGGCATTCACAAGATATTAGATACAATTTTAAAGGCTTTGAAAGGCTGGGGAACATAGCTGAGCAGCAATGGGACTGCCTGGTGAGCACAGGGTCCTGAGTTTGATTCCCAGTACCCCCCCACACAAAATATTTTTTAAAGTACAGATGCCTCTTGATTTGGAGTAGGGTTACATCCCAGTAAATTTACTGTTAATTAAACGTATCATTACATTGAAAGTGCACTTAATTCTCCTAACCTACTGCATTATCACCAAGCATGTGTTGGGCACTTCTGTGACGGAACAGCTGACTAGGGGCTACAATGTAGTGAGAGTATCAGACCTCTCAAGGCTCGTCCAGGAAAAGGACAAAATTCAAAGCATGTTTCAATGAATGCGTCATTTCCACATCATCAAAAAGTGAAAGAAAATTGTAATTGGAATCATCTTAAGTTGGGGAGCACGGCTACTCTGAAAAGTGTTTTCACACATATTGTCAACTTATATTTGAAATAATTCTGTGAAATAGGTTGAAAAGACATCCCTCATTTAAAGGCAGATTGTTTTTTTAATTAGAAGAGATCAATAAAACTACAATGTAAATGAGCTGAATGATCTGAGCTGAAACTAATTAAATATGGAGTACTGTAGAACCACATCTGTCTAAGACCTTTCCTTCATGCAGATTCACACCAGTAACACCCACCCTACACTATTTAGAAAACCCAGGCCAACTCCCATAATAGCTTTGAAGAGTTACAATTCACTGCACAAATATTTGTACATCTAGGATTTCAAAAACCTGAGATCTCCATTGCGGGTGGAGGGGAAATCAAAGGGGGAAGACCTCTGTCTCAAACCTTGTTTCCTTTTGCCTTCACCACAAAGAAAATGACAATCAATGCACTGGAATTTAATATGGCTCAGATTCCAATGCAGAAAAGCAGGCCATGTCCATATTGTGGACTCTGCCCATACTCTGGCTTAAGAGTGCCTACACACTGTTATTGACCTGTACAAAGACCTGAATGGAACCAGACCAGGACAAATGAAGCAGGTAACTGTCATCCAGAAGGGATCAGAAGCACTGACCTGGGCCCCATGGGCTCTCTGACCTGTGGGCCAGGGGAGCCAGCAGGAAGGGCCACAAAGAGCCCTGTTTAAACTGCAGGCTTGGCAGGAAGTTCAAGCTGCCCATGCTAAAGGCAGTACTGGGTATCCTGCCTCTCAGAAGGTGAATATAACAGCAATCTCTACCCCCTGAGCAGCTGCTGGGGAACATTACTCTAAATGCCCACTGACAGAAGGTTTGAATTTTAGTTAAGTCAACTCTGAGTTAATCTTATTTATTTTTATTTTTGGTACCGAGGATTGAACTCATGACCTTGTGTTTGCCAGGCAGGCACTTATGCCACTGGGCTAAATCTCTGGCCCTCGAGTTAATTTTAAATAATACTGATGGATATTCTATATGGAAGTACTTCAAAAATCTTACAGTTTTTAGTCATCATATATATAGCAATATATATAGACTTACAAACAAAATATATATATATACATACATATATATACATATATATACATACATATATATACATATATATACATACATATATATACATATATATACATACATATATATACATATATATATACATACATATATATACATATATATATATATATACATACATATATATACATATATATATATATATATACCCAATATATATAGACTTACAAGTAAGTTTTGTTATGGGAGAATGTTCTCAAGTCGGATTCATTTGCAATTCAACAAAAAGAGTCATACAGTATACCTGTGAATCTTTCACAATACACGAGACCACATGGAACCAGATCACAATGCAAATGAAGCAGGTAATGCTAAAGCCCCAGAGCTGTCATCCAGAAGGGATCAGAAGCACTGATGTGGACCCCATGGGCTCTCTGACCTGTGGGCCAGAGGAGACAGCAGGAAGGGGCCACAAAGTGGCCATAACTCGAATGTTCATAAGTTGAGCACGTACAATACATACAGGTATTATTTGATAAGAACATGAGTTTACATTCTCAATGAAAGCTAACCTTTTAGACTTGGAATACTGTACTTATCAATAGTTGATCTAAAAAAGTCCCCCAATAAAATTTTAAGTAGCTGTCTTGGTTAATTTTCTTGTTGCTGAGACAAAACACCTGATACCAAAAGTTAAGGGAGGAAAGGTTTATTTAGCTCAAATTTGGAGCTCCAAGGCAGGGTGGCATGGCAGAGGGACAAGTGCTCATGGTGGCAACAAAAGCACCAAAAGAAAAGTGAGGAGCAAGCTTCTTTCTGTCCCTTAGGTTGTATGCCCACTGCTCTCCTCCCTAGGGCAGGGGAAGTAATCCTTAATCCGGCATTGGTCCATGAATCAGTCAAAAACTCTAGATTCAGTTACCTCCAAAAAGCCTGCCCCCTCCATGACCACGTGAGATTCTGGGGAGACATCCCGACACAAACCATAACAGTAGCTTACAAAGTCAAAAGTGTTACTCCCAAAGATCAGTATATTTTGAGCTTATTCCTAAAGAAGAGCTTCCTATTTGATAAGCACAAGTTCAGCATACTCATACACATCACAAATGGGGACCAAGGTTCACCTGATCCACGTACAGCAAAATATCCCCAAAAGTTAGTTTCACATTTCACTGTCTTAAGGCAAAACACACGTATTTAGAGAACACTCCACTCATTAAAGTAACACATTTCAAACCACTTTTTCCTCTACTACCAAAGGAGATAACTTACTTGAAACAACATATACAGCAACTCACCAACTGTGAGAAACGCTTCTGACTGTGTGGTGCCATGATTGTTGGCCGCTTCACAGATGTATCTTCCGGCATGTTCCCGAGTGACAGCCTGGATGGAGAGGGAGCTTGAGCCAGCTCGGGACATGATGAAGTACACAGGCTCCAGGTCAAGGCCGCCAGGTCTGTCTAAGTGTGACTTTCGGGATTTGGACCTAAGGACTTGCGATGGATGACTGGTTATCAGCCCTTGACTGCCGTACCAGCGAATGGCTGGGACTGGCACTCCGGTGGCATTGCAGGACAGTGTGACGAAGTCTCCAGCTGCCACCTCTGCACTCGTGGGCGCTGTGATTATAACTGGCTTGAATCCATTGTCTATGAAAAAATAATTCACATACTAAAATTCAGGAATGGGATAGTATCTACACTGCAAAAATTTCATCTGATGGCAGAAATAAAATATGAGAGAAATGATTAGAACAAAGAAGAGCACACCTCCCTCCTTAGTTATCTTCTCAGTTTTTACCAAGTGAAACTGTCAATGAAGTAGAATTATTCACAGCCGCAGGATCCCACACAGAGCTCCTGTTCTTCAGGAAGAAATCACTCAAGAGCCTTCCCTAGACAAATACATTAACTACTGTAAACACAGAATGTGTTACAGGCCTTAACATGAAAAAGGGGTAAAGAAGTAAGAAACTAGATCAACAATCCTTCAGTTCTTTGGGAATCTGATTAAGAAAGGTTTGGGAGAAAAAAAAAATTCCAATTTAAATAAAAGTTGATAAACTGTTTTCTTACTGTTGACATGAACATTTTTGTTTCTAAATTACAGTCTTACTAAGTCTTTCCTTTTGGTCCTGGTACTCTCTAGAGGTATTTTTCATTGAGACTACAATGACATACTGATTAACACAAAAGATCATTTCTATCTGTTTTTCTCAAAACCTCCTTCTCACATTGGATAACCCAACTAACACTTGATTTCAGATTTCTGAGTTTTTTTGACAATAAAATGCCATCTCCCTAGTTACAATCTGCACTTGCAGCACTACTAATGAAGATGAACATCTTTCCATCTGTTTAGATGTCATTCATATTTTCTCATCTCTGAAAGGCTTATCGTCCACTGTTCTATGGGGACTTGCTTTTGTAAAATAGTTCAAAGTTCACTGTACACATTAGATAGCCTTAGTTATATTTAGTCGTAGGTATATTACATATATGCTTAGTTATGTTACATCACTAGTGTCTTCTAGTTTATTGCTTTTCATTTCTTAATAGTGTCATTTATGTTCTCATTTCAATATAGTCGTATCTTTGTAATCAGCCTTTTAAGATATTTTTCTAAATTATACAAATATTCTCCAATATAGCCTTACAATAATTTTCCATTTTACTTTTCATATTAAGTTTTCAACCCAGTGGGAGTTTATCTTTCTATACCATGTAAATTTTCTCTCCATTTTGATAACCAATTATTCCACATTAAAATTTGTACCTATCGTCTGACTAGTGATCTGCAATACCAGTTCAGTCAATTTCTTATGTGCAAGTATCTTTTTGGCATAGTCTATCTGTTCCTGAACCAACACAATGTTTTCTAAATTATTACTGATTTTCTTATATTTAAGGCAAGTTTCTTCTTTTAGAGTATCTTAGGTATTATGAGGCCTCTGATTATCTATATAAATTTTAAGGTAATCTCAAGTTTCTCAAAACATTCAGATGAGATTTTAACTAAAATAGTATGAATCTACAGAAAAAATTTGGAAAGGCTGTATAATACTGAATTTTGCCATCTATGAACTGGTATGTATATTTTATTGTTATACAAAAAGGCAAATGATTCTAGTTATGGTCTTTATCCAGTCACCAGACTAAATGCTATTAGTTCTAAGAAGATACAAAACAGCCAGCAAACCATTTGGATATTCTATGATGGCAAAGCTGTAAATGAATAACAATTTGGGTTCTTTCCTAATTCTTTTCATGTCTTTCTGTGCTGGTTCAGATCTCTAGTATAATAATGACTAGCCATTAAAAGTAATGTTTCATGTAAGTTCTTATTAGGCATAGTTAAATGAAGTTCCTTCTATTTTCATTTTTCTGAGTGTGTAATGCGAATAGTGAATTATGTCCAATTTTTCCTACCTCAACTGAGATACTCATATTCTTTTTCTCCTTTATTCAATAAATAGGGTAAAAAATACTTTTAACTTTTCTGAGGATTTCTAGGATAACTGCTCAATGGCTTTTATTTTTTACACATTCCTGGCTAATCAGTATTTTGTTTAGGATTTATACACCTATTTTCATAATGAAGACTGGCTTTTGATTTTTCTTTCTTATAGCAGCCTTTTGTGATTCTGAAATCGAGTCTACTGACCTGAGAGTTTCTAGCCTCTCCTTTTCTCTTGTACACTATATAATATTTGGAGTGATCTGTTACTTGCAAGTTTAGTGGAACCTTCACAGGTCAAGACTCAGGTTTTCTTTGTGGGAGGTTTTTAATTCTTAATTCAACTTCTTTCACAGGTATAGATGACTGATAGACTTTTTATTTAAATCGGCCTTGCTAAGTTACCTTTTTTCTCAGAATTTGTGCATGCGATAGTTTGGTTCTTTCTGTTTGCTTGTTTTGTTTATAAAGCACAGTTTTGCTATGTAGTTCAAGGTGGCCTTGAACTCACTATGTAGGCCAGGCTTGCCTCCAACTTGCAGTGATCCTCCTGCCTCAGCCCCCAAAGTGCTTATAGTTTTGTTCTTAAATATCCCCCAAATGCCAATATGTTGGAGGCCCATTCATCTGTGGTACCACTGGGAGGTGGTGCAACCCTCGGGAGGCGGGGCCTCGTGGAGGGAAGTTAGGTCATCACCAGTGCGGCCTTAGGGAGGCCCCCACGCCTCCATGTCTCTCTGTGTTGCCCTATGAGGTGAAAGGGCCTCCTCTGCCTTCTCTGCCATGGTTCCTGCTGTAAGACCTGTGCTGCCACAGGAGCAAAGCAACAAGGCCAAGGGACCACAGAGTGAAACTCCTGGAACAGGAGCCACAGAAACTTTCCCTCCTTTACAAGTATTCTGTCACAGCGAATAGAAAGCTAACACGTCCACTTGTGTTTATATAAGTAAATAACTTTCATAAAAGTTTATTATCACCATTATTTTTAATCTCTGTAAGACTTGTAGTTACGGCCTCTTTATTTCTAATATTGTTTATAGGCATCTGATTTCTTTATATTTAATTTTGCCAAAGACTTACCTACTTTATTTAGATTATAAGGAATCAACTTCTACATTTATTGATCCTATTTTATCTTTGCTTTCTATTTAATTATTTCTGCCCTTATTTGATTTCTCTATCTTTTTTTAAAAAAAAAATCTATTCTGCCTTCACTCACTAATTTTCATTCTGTTTTCTTTTATAAGCAAATAGGGCTACAAATCCCCCTAAATCTCATTTTGGCTCTCTGCTACAAAACCTGATCACCGGCATGTTCATTATCATTCACTTCAAAGTATTTTACATCTATACTAGGATTTTTTAATCCAGTCATTTGGAATTATAATTTTATATTCCCAACTACAGGACAAATTTTTAAATTATCTTTCACTATTAACTTCTAACTTAGCTGCAGTGAAATAAAAAATGTGGTCTGTAATGGTTCTCTGAATTTGAAATTTTTTATAACACATTATAAACAACTAATTTCCCTAACATATAAAGAATTCTGATAAATCAATAAGAAAAAAGGCCAAAAACATAGTTGTTTTAAAATGAACGAAAGACAATGAAACATGAAAACATAGGAACATAAAATATAAGTTTCCTTAACATGAAATGATACCTAACTTCACTCATAACAACAACAAAAAACCTCCCTCCCCCACAAAAAACCCAATACAGATTACAAGGCCATAACTACAAGTCTTTTTTTCCTTTTTTTTTTTTTTAAACTTATTGGATTAGCAAAGATTAAAAAAAAAAAAAACTTTGGACAATACTCTGAATTGCTGAGGTACGAGGAGAGAAACAAAGTTCTACGCTACCTATAAGAATAAAACCTATAACAACCAGGAGCACAATCAGCAGTATCTATCAAAACTTCAGACTCATTTACGGTTTATAGTTCATTTCCAAGAATCTGTTAGTGATATTCAAACATGTACAAAACAATCTTTATAGGACACACATTACAGAACTATGTATAATAGCAAAATATTAGAAACAGTCATCAATAAGGTACTAATCAAATTGTTACAGCTATACAATGGAACACTAAACAGCTATTCATCAAAAAGACATAAAACTCCTTTATGTACCATATAGGACGATATCTAAGATACATGTTAGGTGAAAATTTCAAGGTAAAGAATGCTACCACCATTTATGTTTAAAAAAACACCTGTTATAAAATACACATACATAGGCATGCTTACGTGTGCCATACAGTACATAACTACAGGCATGCCTATGTACCAGGATATTTGAGAAGCCAATTACCAATTATTTCTAAAGAGGGACATGACTGGCTGTGGAACATGAGCAAAAAACTTTACCATAAAACTAGTACCTGTTGAAAACATTTTTAAATTTGACTTTATTTAACTTGAAATTTTAACGATCTTCCCGATTTTTTTTTTTCTCCTAATCCTGGAACAGAGCCCCGGAACCCAGGGTCTCATGTATGCTAGGTAAGCGCTCTACCAGGCAGGTATACCACCATCCTGAAAGCAATTTTTAAAAAGCCTAATTAAATAAGGTGGCTTCTTCACAGAAATGCCTACCTCCCACTAGTAAAGAACATGGTAAATGAAACAGTCCTGGCACAGCAATAGGATTATCGTAGTAAAAATGACTGTTTTTAGCTTCTATAAGTCTACCTGTGAAGTAAAATCTCCTGGGATTACATGATCTCCGAGCTTACTTTGTTCAACTTGAAGTCTTCCAGTGGACTGCATAAATCCAATCCCGTTGTCTGCTACACACTGATACAGCCCAGAATCTTCCATGGTAACCCCGGTGATTTTCAGCCCTTTTCCTGCAATGAGGTGACGTGGGGAAGCACGAATAGGCTGTGCGTTATGAAACCAGGTGCAGTTGGGGACTGGATTCCCATGAACGTCACAGGTGAAATGTACTGTGGCTCCTAGAGACACTCTTTGATCCTGTAGTCCTTTAGAAATCGAAGCATGTTCTGAAAGCAAACGCACCAAGTAAACACTAGTCCTCAAGATACATGTTTTAAATTATCACACAAGTCATATAAAATCTTTCTAACAATAACAACTTGCAAACAAGTTGTAATCTTTATTGACATTCTTGTGTCTGCTGTGGCCATCAAGGAAAAATTAGAGCAGTTGGAGCGCAGATCCAGGAACAAGGCTGGAAGCTAAGCCCCCACAGGGGAGCTGCAGTGAGCTGGTTGGCTCACAGGTTGGGGAGAGAATAGCAGCCCCACCCCCTCCACGCCCCGCCCTGTGAGCAACCAGCTGATTTGGAGGAGCTGTGTTGTTCAGTTGACTCTGCAAGCCGAAAGCTGAGAGACTATTTAGAGGCCAAAAATATGCAACACAGTAACTACTGCAGATTTCCTAGTCCTATCACTGTTTCGATTTGTTTTATTGCTATTCCCTTTAAAACTGATTTTTAAAAATTGGAACTACATTTTAGTTCCCCACTAATAGGATAAACCATATAGCACTAAGAAGTTTGTCTCCTCCTTTAGGTTCATCCAACCTCCCCCCTCACACACATGAGTATGCACACAGACACACAAATAGTTTCTAATCCTGCGCTTCTCTTAGCATTTATTTCAAGTGATTAGTTTAACATAAAAGTAACGGGCTGGGGTTATAGCTCAGTGGTACAGCACCTGCCTGGCAAGCGTAAGCTCCTGAGTTTGATTCCTGGTACTCACCTTAAAAAAAGAAAAATTTAGAAATACATTGAACCAAATGAAAATAAAAGTACAAATTAAAATTAATAAAATAAAGTAACAGTCTCCCTAGATTTCATGCTAAACAACAACCAAGTAAGAAAAAAATTTTTTCATTTAAATTCTTTTTATGGTCAGCTCATCTTTGAAATTAGGTATAGCTAATTTCAAAGGAAAGGAAAGAAAACAAAAAAAAGGCCGTGCACACGCTAACCAAGTGCTCTACCACTAAGCTATATCCTCTGCCTTTCAACAAATTTTAAATTTTCCTGCCGTCTTTTTGCTGCTATCCTACCTCAGGCAATGATATAAGTAAACAACATGAAGAAAATTTACAAAAATTACATTACTATGAAACCACTTCCTATTCATTTTTTCCACCTTTCAGGAAAATCTGCCTTGATAAAGGCCAGTGCTTTCTGCTAGTCAGGTAGATAGCTGATAGAAAAAAACAGAAGCAATAGTTTTGTGATAAGAAGTACATACAAAATGAGAAAAGAAGGAAACATGGACAGCAAGGTTTTCTAAGTGGGAAGAAGGGGTTGAAAGGAGGGTTAGGGAAAGGCAGAAAAAAACAAGTTACATCATGTGTAGGTACAAATTCTCTATGATGAATGTGATCATTAGGTCACAGTCCCCACTACAGGATACCATGTAGCTACATCTCAGAATCTCCTGTTCCGCTGAGTTCTGGGTCATGGAGGTGGGCGCACAAGCCATGCATTAAGTGATCAGGTCAGGGGTGAGGATCCCAAGAACACCCACTGTGACTGTTCTGTGCCGGTCAGAAACACAGCTGAATTCCACAGTCCTTGAGGAAAATGGTGACTGCTCTGGCTACTGGCATGGATATTTCTAGACAACTCATGTCTCATTCTGAGCCTATAAATAACCTTCTGACCAGGAAAATGGCACGATTTGAAAAAACAAAACGAAGGAAGCAACATCTTACCAAGCACATTAACCATGTAGGTGACATGTTTGATGTCTCCAGACTTGTTGCCCACCACGCAGGAGTAGTTTCCAGAGTCCGCTGGGTGGATGCTTGCAGTGGCAAGATGGGAATACAGACGCCTCCAGTGGCTGCCCAGCACAGCGCCCTGCCCCTCCCTCAGCCACTGCACTTGCGAGGCCGGGACCCCCGTCACCACGCACTCCAAAGTTACAGGGCTGTGAGAAGGAACAGCTAGTGCCTGGGGAAGGGTGGGGTGAAGAATTCGAAACCCATCTGCCAAAGGGCCTGGAAGAGGAAGAAAGCACAAAGTATCACCACCACAGATCCATGGCCAATCTCTGCCCCTGCAACACAGTGCACATCCCTATGTTTCTGCTTATTTTTCTTCGTATGACAAGGTCCCATCGGGTAGCAAATCATTTTCAGTTAAAGCTGGGGGAGCTGGGAATATAGCTCAACAGCACACTACCTGCCTGGCAAGCAGAAGGTCCTGAGTTCAATTTCTGGTACACACACAAAAAATTATTTAAAAAAAAAAAAAAACCTCTTGGGCATGGAGGCACACACCTGTAATCCTAGCATTTGGGGGGCTGAGGCAGGAAGATTTCTGTGAGTTCAAGGCTAGCCTGGGATACAAAGTGAGTTAGAGGCCAGCCTGAACTGCATTAGTGAGGCCCTATCTGAAAAAGAAAAAGAAACCCAAAAGAAAGAAAATAATCATAATTATAAATAAAAATAAAATTAACACTTTATGGTCCTTTAGAGCTATTTTTGAATTATTTTGAATTAATATTTCAGAAATATAAAGTTCTCAAGTTCGAAAATCACTCCTTTATAGTGCTCTATTGGCGTGACCTCAACTAAGAGGCACAATCTAAAATCACTCATGATTTGTATCACATCTGAAAGGACTGAGAACAGATATATATTTTCTTCCTTATTCACATTTAGCCACCCATTTGAGTACCACAACCGTAAGGTTTCTGTATTTTAAAAATACACACAACATTGTTCTATAATTCGTTGATGCATTTACTCTGCTTGTGAGACATGCCTAAGATAAAACAAACAACATCTGAAAAAAGAGACGAAAAAGAAAATGAATTCTCCTGGGCTAACTTTTATGAGCAACACTTCTGAGAACAAATTACTGTCGCTCTTTCAAATACTTACGACTCACAAGGAGCTTCTGGCTGATACGCTCAACTTTTAATTCATTGGTGACAGGATTATAAGCCGCACATTTGTATGACCCTTGGTCTTCTGAGGATACGTTCAGAATCTGAAGGTTTCCTGATGGGAGGATCACATACTTCCCTGAGAAAGGAAAGGAGTCCATTTAGCCTCGCCTTTTCTGAAGACCACCACAACACAACGGAAATGACCAGGGGGTCACAGTCGTGCTTTAGATTGACACAGATGCCCAGGAGCAAATAAGCGATTAAGGAAAATGCATTAAATCAAAGAAAGAAAAAACAAGGCAGAAAAAAAAAAAGGTCAATAGTACTGGTGGACAAAATCCAACCCATCATTAACAGTTTAGCAGCTGATGAGTCTGAAAGCGTGAACTATGTCTGGACAAAGACACCATGACCACCGGTGACACTTCGACAAATGCCACCTACAGCACCAGTCACGTGGTGTGCACTCACTGTCCACTAATTTCTTACACACTAGGTAGCTATTTCTGCCAGGCCTGGCCCAGCCACATGGGACGCGGCAATGGAGGACGTAGATCAGGGCCCTGCATTCTGCTAACACTCCACAGGGCAGGGGTAGCAGTGAAAAGGCACACAGCAAACAAGCAAGCAAAAATACGTAAAAGGCTCACTGCATGAGATATATTCTATCTATAAAGAAACACAAAGCTGAACGAGAACAACAAGGAATGTCACAGAGCGGCCCATACAGGCGGTCTGTCTTTCCGAAGGGGTGACATTTGGGTGGGGTCCGGAATGAGTCCAAGGAGCAAGCCCCTGGGGTATGCGACGGTGGTCACGCCCCTCCACTCGACTTTGGAGATGGCAGGCAATGTATCTCATATATGTTTGTGTGCACAGCCCCTGGTTATGCGGTAAGCTTCTGCTCTGTGTGTGCTACTGGCTTTTCCAAACAAGGACTCACCTGTGGAGTGCTTCAGCCACCTTCCCCGGATCTTGTAGCGCACCTCAGCTTTGGGGTTACTAGCTGGTACCTGGCAGCCAATGAAACCAGTGCTGTTTTCTTCTGCTGTAATAATGTGCTTTGCTGATGAATCAAAATCACCAAGAACTGAAATAAATAGATACATAAATGAATGCAAAGCTGAATCCTTCTCAGGGGGAATTTAAAAATTGGAAACATTTGCAGCATAGTCTGATACTGCAACTAATCCCAGTCCTGAGGGTAGCATGATCTTTGTATCTCAGAAAGCTGCTGAGGTAGTAGTTCTAAGGCTACCTGTTCGGTTATGTTATCTTTCCTCAGAAGCCACTGCTTTCAGAGGACTGGGGGAAAAGAAAACTTCTAAAGCACTAGGAAGAACTATAAAGCATAATTATTCCCATTCTGTCATGATAAATCCTCTTCAGTCCAGACCCTCATTAAAAGTCACTTTCCCCTTTGGTGACTACTCAAATTGCAATAAAATGGCTCCTGGAAAATGAACCTGGGACATCAAACGCCAAAGCAGCGCATCATTTAAATGTTTTGAACATACTAACTCGGTCTCTGCCCCTTCCAGCCTAAATTCACTGCAGAGAAGCCTGAACGAAGGGCTCTTTACTGTCTTCCAATGCCCGAGGAACTCAGCAGCCTGCCACCAGGAATCCAGCGCTGCAGTGTGTGTCTTGGAGCTGTCTATGGGTCACAGCTCTACAAAAACATTTACTCTTCTCAGTTATGACAAACTCCCTACTCCTGGGGAATCCAGATTTATTCTGTAAATAAGGGTGCCCTTACAAAGACGTTTTCCATTACTGGAAGCCATCACCATTTGAAAGGCAGATGGCTCAAACTTACTAAGAAAAACCACACATTCCAGATTTTCCATAAGTTCAATACTCAAAATTCCTTTCTTAACAGTCAGTTATTTTTTTTCCTGCTACTTTAGCCTGGTTTCAATTAAATAAATTAAAATCACTCAATAAGCAAGGCAAATCAAACAATGAGATGTGAAAGATAAAGCACTGCATGAAATAACTGAGTGTCAAAACAGACAACAGCTTTTTCCTAGTCATTGATATTAAGGGCACTTGAAGATGCAGAAAGAAACTGTTTAGAACACACATTAGAAAACTGTCGCAAACCACTGTTCCAGATGAAGATGCCAGTCTATGCCACAGAAGCTCAGGTAAGTTTCCTCACGTTGTACGAATAATCAAGTCAAGGCCAGGTAAGAATTCTTGACTCCTACCAATACATGTCTCACACCAAAGCCCACGCTCTTCCCACAGTTCAGAAATGTAAACACTGACAGTCACTTCCAGAAAACCCACAGTAACAAGGACCAAAGGAAACTCACCTGCGATAGACACTGCTGCAGGGCTGCTCACAACTGCACCTATGCTATTGTTGGCAATGCACTGGTAGTACCCCGAAAGGGAGGGGTTAAGAGAAAGAATCGTCAAGGTCCCCCGCTGAAGCTCCATCTGTTCTGTGTTTTTATCCAATCTCTTTCCATTATGCAACCAGGAGATATAAGCAGTCACAGGTTTAGCAGAACAATGTAGTGTTACAGGTCCACCAAGCTTCTGGATAGCAGAAAGCGGCTCAGAAATAAAATAAGGTGCCAAGTCTAAGAGGGAACAAACCCCACATGCAAAAGGGTGAAAAGAGGGGAGGAAGGGGAAGGAAGCAGAAAGAGAAATGAGTACATCGAATGCTTCTCAGCTGAATCTTTGTAACTAAGACAATCTATCTATCTATCTATGGCAGCTCTTGAGACTTGTAAAAATTCTAATACAATTTTTATGAGAACATCTTTTGGAAAAATACAGAGCAACACATTAGCCTAGGACTTACGTTAAAATTAAGGTAGGCCACACAAAAATGTTTGATGTAAAACACTAACTTTATTAATAGAAAACAGCAAACTGCCTTTTAACAAAGGGATTTGTAAGAAATAGAAGCTAAACACCTGAAGAAGTGAAGACAAGATGCCTTTTGAAATAAAAAGAACTCTCTCCTATTTTAAGAATAGGATGTTATTCTGGGAAAAGTTTTCAATTAGCAATAATCACGCCTCGGGTAAACCTCGCTGCCACTGTGCAAAGCTAGGACATTATTCTGTAAATAAAGGATGTGGTACTTCTTCACTTCTTTATTACTTTAGTATAAAGTATTTTAACATAAACACAAGATATTTTAATATAAAATATTCAACTCTTAAGAAAATAGGAGCCACACTGAAATATAAATTCTATCCTTTCTTGGGTCTAAAGGTTTCATGTTTATATTTAGCACTGAAATAGTTTCATTTGTTATATGTAGTCCTCCAGGAACCTGGACAAGGAAGAGTGACTCTTGCACTAGAATAGCAATAAAGAACCACTCCCCCCTTCCAAAGGAATAGGGGAGCAGCAATACTGTTAATCTGATGATATAAAATACACAATAATAAATTGTTCAATATCCTTTTACAGAAAGTTTAATCAGAAATAAAGATTAAAGAGCCTTTTATTTTATTTCTTTTTTTTTTTTGGTATTGGGGATCAAACTCATGACCTTGCACTTGCCAGGCAGGCGCTTGTGCCACTGAGCTAAATCCCCAGCCCAAGACAATGTCTTTCTTGGCTAAACCTATCGTAGTGGTTTAGAAAACCATAAAAGAAATAAAACCAATGAATCAATTTTCCTTTACCAAGTCTAATACTGTTATACAGGATTTTCAACAGATAATAAATACTACTCAATGAACTAACATCATGATATTTGTATATACATCTTTAAGTCTCAAGTAAAAAACAATACATGTGGGCCATGTATTTAGTCTGAGGCTTGTACATTCTTAACAATAAACAGATTTAAACTTTCCAAAAACCCAAAGACGTAGAGAAGTAAATTAACTGAGGTCACGAGAGAAAGTGCCAGACTTGGCATCTGAACCAAGCTCTCACACTCCAAACTGAATGTTATTCCACACTGATTCTACATCTTCTCTGTGATGGTATGCAGTTAGCACTTTAATTCCTGCTATCATTTCTAAATTCAGAAACCAGTATATAACACATAACGTATTCCCTCACTGAAGAAAAGCACAATTAGGAAATACTTTCAAGGTGACAAATTACAAGGATAACAAATTGTAAGGACAAGGATGGGAAGGCCCCCTAATGTGCAAAGCACTACTAAGAAATCCTTAACGCCTTTAATCAAGTTTTTAAATCATGTAGTGGCCAAGCAAATTTCAGAAACATTTTACACACTGATCTTACTGGCGAAGTATTGACACCGAAATTTGTTGTTTACAGGACTAAGATAAGGGAAGGCTTCAGCCAGAACCCCACCTTTCTCCTCTTACCTGAGCTCACAGAAGAACACAGAATCTTAAGGATAACATACAGCAGTGTCCATAAGGGTCCAGGGTCTGGATGCATAGCGCCCGATTACAGAGGCAGAAAGACCGACTTCCAGAGAAGACCCAGGCCTTCACTCACTAGAAAGCATTAAAACAAGAGGGAAAAAAATCTAAGCCACAAAATGCACTGCAATCTTTAATCTGAACCACTGGAATCATGAGCATGATGGCTGCCCACTCTTTGGAAAGCTCTGCATGGTTTATGTCACATCCCAGGCACTTAGTGACCCACACCACCTCCATTCACAAACTGACATGGAGACACAAAATTAAAGCTGGAAGTTTTATGCATTCTCCTGGGGTATCAAGACACCTTTTATTCTAAAGAACTAGCTATTCCAAATGAATACATTCAACTGCCTCTGGCGTCTATTTATACAACTCACAAGCAACTGAACACAAGCAATGTGAATTCTTCCTCCTCATTCCCAAAACAAATTCATAATAAATACGTGGTACATCCTATATGCCAGACCCTGTTCAGTGCTTTTGATATACCGGTCTTCTTGACACAGATTTTTCCGAATTTCTTCCCTTTCCTCAGATGGAAACATGGGTTCATGGGTTGTTCAGATAGAAAAAATACGAAGTGTCACTTGTGCTGGCACTGAATTTGACATTCAGTGGTGATAGTGGGGTTAGCCAGGAAAAGAACAGTGAAGGAGGAAGGTTGGGCCAGATTGTACCCAGTGCTGAAGGCTGCATGAAGGTTCTAGAACTTGTTTTAAATGCCTGTGAGGCATTAACAGAAGGACAGCGATGTGATCCCATTTATGCTTTAAAAAGATCACCAGCTGAGAGAAAATATGCAAAAATGAGAGGTACGGAAGAGGAAGAGCTATCAGGAGACACTGTAATCCCCCAGAAGACAGCAGGGTACGGGGGCAGGGGGATCAGCAAGTCTTTGCCTATAGAAGTAGTGAAAAACAACAGAATTTAGAGTATTTTCTAAAGGCAGAACCAAGATTCACTGAGGTATGGGTGTGAAGTGTAAAAATTTTTAAAATGTGTCAAAGATAACTGCTTTTAAAAATGAGGAAGACTAAAGTGGGGGACACAGAATGACAAGGGAGACAGCCAGCAGGTCAGTTTGGCCAAGCTAAATCTGAGATTGCTGTAAAGCACCCAAGTATTTATACTACTGTCAAGATAGCAAGTACATCTGTGAGCCTGGGGTGGTGGGGAGAAGTCAGAGCTGGACATATGGATTTCAGACATACAAAAGCCTCAGCACTGGATAAGCACTAGGAAAACATGTGTAGGGGACAGAGGCAACACCAGGTAAGACTCAGGACACTCCAACCTTTAGACTGAGTAAGAAGAAACTAAGCAGCAATGGAGAGCAGCGGAGACCCAGGATAACAGGCAAAAATGGGACGAAATCCAGAAGGATGCTGCATCTAAGGAGAAAGTGAAAAACATTTCTGGGAAAGATGGTCAACATCCCAAGTACCAGTGATATGCAGAGTGAAGCAAGACACCATAGATCAGGGCTGGGGATTTAGCTCAGCGGCATAAGCGCCTGCCTTGCAAGCGCATGGTCGTGAGATCGATCCCCGGTACCAATAAAAAAAAAAAAAAAAAAACCATAGATCACTCGTGGTCCTGACAAGTGGTTTCTGCTGAAAGGAGCATTCAGTGTGGGCCGTACAGAACAGGAAGGCAGAGGCATGGGGATCAGCAATACCTCAAGGTTTGCTCTGCAAAGAAAGCAGCAGACAGGGAGAATGGCTGCAGCCAGATATGGTCAAAAGGTTTGCTGTGTGTGTGTGTGTGTCTGTGTGTGTGTGTGTGTGTGTGTGTGTGTGTGTGTTTAATATAGAGGTCGTATATAAAGCACATTTAGCAAAAATTTAAAAAGTTCCCAAAAAGCAATAACTGGCAGGTCTGAGGGAATAAATCACTAGGATATGTTAGTGGACATGAAATCAGCACTTTTTTTATGGAGGCAGTACCTATCAAATATTACATATTTACTACATGCTAAGTACATTCAGCCAGCAATAGTGTCACATGTCTATAACCCCAGCTACTCAGGAGACTGAAGAAGGAGGATCTCAAAGTACTTGCTCAGGAGCTGGGACAAAGCAATTTTCACTCCACAAGCAAAAATAACAAACAAAGGCTTACCACCTTATGGTCTGGAGGAAGAGATGATGAGCAAGATAAATAGAATTAGTAAAATTAAAAACCTCCATGCAACATGGAAACACAGCTAAGATTTATTTCCCTCTGTGATTTGGACACAAGTCTACTACTGCACTTGGTTGTAGAACTTGTCTGGTCACATAGCTACGTGCACTTTGAAGGCAAGAATGACATCATATTCAACACTGTAAAAATTCTAATTCTTACTTGAACAACTATTTCTAAGATAACAATACGTAACCTATTAACTAGTGATTTCCTACTGTTCATTCTTTCTGAAATTCTGCATAACTTGTACCCTTTTTCTGTTTTTTTTTCTCCTTAAATAAAATTTTTTTTAAAAATTCTAATTCTTGATTTTAAGCAAGTAAACACTCCATAAATGTCTCTTAAAACAAAGGGCGTATGTTACTATAATGCATTTCCAAGATGCATGTTAAAGAGTAGTAGTTAATGAAAAAACCACCATCTCACCTGATTTTGGTGTATTTTAGCTATATTTTAATTCTTCATTCATTTACTCATTCATATGCATAATTTTAAAAATAAGCAAAAGCACATTGAGTGCTTGTCATATGTCAGGCATAATGCTAGACCGGGTTAGTATTTCTGCAAATTCTGCCCCATGTTCCTGCTTGGCAAGGGCTGACAAAGGACCTATGACTATGGTCAACACGTAACAACTGCGCTGTATTCATGATATTGGAGAAATGAAACCTTTACCTGCATACTCCTTATACAAAAAAAGGTTAATCTTAATCCTCGATAAAAACTGGCAGTAACAAACCAAGACACCATGCATATGATGTCTTTTAAGTCAAATAGTATCTCCCAGGATCTGCTGTTCTCTGTGCCAGGTACAGCAAAAATGGGTTGCAAACTCAAGTTTCTATAGCTCATGACATGAGGTCATGGACTGCCTTTCTCAGTTTTTGTTGCTGACCTCCTTTAAAAAGCAGGAGAAGACATATAAATTGGCACCACTCATCAACAGAAGGTCCTAGCTGTGGGCAAACTCATCTGGTTTATTTGAACTCGCACTTTGTTCAATGGTAAGAACCAACACACACTGCTGGTAAGCAGTCAAGGCAATGTAAACACTCAAATAACTTGTTAACAAGAGATACTGCCCCAAGAGAAGCAAGACAGGGGGGATTGTTTCTACTTTTTGCAGAATCTTTATTTATTAGAAAGCAGTGAAACAAACTTCAGAGGCAACTTTAACCCTAGCAGCACATGACCTACTTTCAAGTTTCATTGCTCGCTGTTGCTACCTAAATACCATCACACAGGACTCTCTCTTGTTAAATCTGTCTCTGCTGGTTACATATTCCCAGGTGATTTTGGAAGCTGGAAAGAATCTATGGTCATAAAAGGTGTTTACTAAATATTTGAATCGGCTGACATTTATCCAAAGCAAGCTACTCCAGTTTTCTAGAGCACTGGATAGTGACAGCAGAGAGTTGGGAGTCTGTTACTATACAGGCTGCATGGCTTGAATTACACTCACTGGTTACCGCGAGACCCTCAGGTGCAACCTCACTGACCACAGAGAAGATAAGACGTGCACAAGTCCAAGCACATCCATCAGCACCACTGGAAGATCACTGGACGCTGTATCACTTTCAAAATTATGAAATCAAAAAAGAAACTGCGAACTTCCGGGAGAACATGGCAGACAGATGGCAGACAGAGGCTCTCTGAGAGACCCAGCTTAGAATCCAGGAATGGTGCAGAGTGAGGAATCCTAAGCAAGAGGAAATATACGCTGTTGACCCAAGAATGAACTGGGCTGAGAGAAACCAACTGAGAATGCAATCCTGCTGCTGTAATAGGAACAGATAAAGCCTCAGCGTGGAAGCTGGAGCCCGCGCCATTGGAAGCCGTGATTTGGGTTTCCTGCCACCGCTGCTGCGTCTGAATCGGCTCGGCAGGGAGAGAGACGTGCGAAAGCTCTGAGAATGAGAATCGGTGAACGGAGTTGAGAGCGGGACGGGCGGGGAGCCATGCATCGACCTGTGGTGAATGAGGGAAACTGGGACTCTTCTATGGTCTAGGAGGCTCCAACAGAGGTCATGCCGGGACTGGGCAGACTTGCCGGAACAGGACGCTGTAGTGACTTCAGTCACATACCCCCCTCTCAAGCGGGATTGGTGAGCAGTGCCTAGTCTACGTGATGCTGCTGGCTGAGACCCAGTAGGCTACCACAACCCAGATCCCAGCGCCTGGAGGTGCACCCTAGCGGTAGGCTGACCTGGAAGGGCGGGCCCCACATAGGCTGCCTGGTCCGTAACTCCCTGGTGCACTGTGGTGGGCGGAAACACCTAGCCGGCGCAATTCAACCAGACTGTAGCCAACAGGGAAGGAAGCTGGGCCTCCTATATATGCTTGCATATATAAGGAACAAAGAATATGGGAAGAGGGAGCAACAAGAAAGACTCCTCGGCCCCCAATCCTGAGAAACAGGCAATAGCAGACACGGCACCAATCGACATAAAGTGCTATCTCCAGAGCCTCATAGACGAGTTCAGGAATGAAGTTATTCATGACATGAGGCAAGACATAAGCAGAATAGTTAAGAGAAATGCTAAGCACCACCCAAGGAAAAACAGATGGTGGAATGGAAGAACAGAAAAAGAGGGGAGAATTGTTTGATGGAGAAAATAGAGAAAACATAGAATACGTGAAGCAGGTTCAAAGAGATTACCAGGAAACTAAAAACTCTATCGAAAACTGGCATAACAGCTTGAAAGAAACTAAGGATAGATTATCTGAACTGGAGGGCAGATTTCTAATATGGGAGCATGAAATGAAAAACTTCTTAAAAATAACAAAGAAACAAACAGCAATAATACAAAGACTAGAAGATGATAAGAGGATCTATAACTTAAGAATTAAGAACATAAAAGAAGAGGTAGGGACACAAACAA